ATCTGGCGTTTCGCCTAGGATTGCGGTATACATTTTCAAAGGCAATTGTCTTCACAATATCCACTACCACTTGTCCACTACAACTGCCATGAAAATGGTTATTTTCAGTTATTTGCATTATCGAAAATATACTGAAAAAATATATATTTAATATAGAACCGGCCGATAGTTGATGTAAATCCGTATTAAAGCTCATTAATACAGTTTATTGTATATGAAAATAGTACAATAAGCTGTATTGATGAGTTTCGAAACTGATTGAAACATTCTGTGATATATAGTCACTGGGCATACTAGAAGACTGACTATAAGTCAAATCATCAAGAACAGTTCTTTCAGGCCAGTATCAACTCCCTACACTGTAGGTTAATGGGGTGACACCTATCAGAAAACAACTACTCTCCTGGCTGATACCACGACAGGCGTTGGATTATATCCGACAGGTGTCAGTGTCATATGTGTTTTCTCATCGTCTGTTGACAACATTTTATGTGCATGTCTCAGAAATCCAAATTGTTTTCCTGAAATAACAATTTGAAAATTTTCGAGTTATGTTATTATATGGGTTGAAATTTCGTGATGTTTACAGGGTGTAACATAAGTACGTTAAAATATTCAAGTGACGTATTCCTAAGACAATTTTGAGTGAGAAAGTCTATATGAACTTGTGTCCGAAAATGCTTCGTTTCGGAGATACGGGGTGTTGAAATTGAATTTTTTTGTTCGCTTTTTCAAAATAACTAACTAGATGTAACATCTAGAGGGCGCTGCGCACGCTGTCATTATTTATTTCAAATTGCCCTAACAATTTTGACAGTGAACTTTTGGTACTTTTTATGAAAAAACCTGATTCCCAAACCTTTTTCAAGTAAAAAAGGTACACCTCCTCAATAACGCTCGAGGTGATCGTTTTCGAAAAATTTACCATTTTCTATATCGATGCATATTACTTTATAGCCAAATTTGATTTCAATAACTTTTGTCACTCTCCGCTTGCAAATTAAGTTAATTAAATCGAGTAGGCTATGAAGGTTTTTTTATAAATATAGAAGTTTGCTGTCACATTTTTAACTATTAATTGAAAAATCCACAGTTCGGAGTTTATAAAGTGATTTTTTGATACCATGCTCGACTTTACGAATGCTGAAATGACTGATATGGTTTTTGCATACGGCTTGGCTGACGAAAATTCAAGCGAGGCCAGACGCATCTATCAGGAAAGGTATCCTCAACGCGTGACTCCTTGTGCAGCGACATTTGCGAATCTTTTCCGGCGACTTTCCGAATCTGGAAGCTTTGAAACAAATTCTACAGTAGGACGGCCACGTACTACAAGAACTGTAGAATTGGAGGAGGCGGTTTTCGAAGAGATTAGTGAACATCCAGTGACAAGAACAAGAAAAATTAGTCAAACTTTAAAGTTTACAGAATTTCAAAGAAACAGCAATTATATTCTTATCATATTCAGCGTGTCCAGGCACTTACGCTACGTAATTTCCAACCAGGTATCGAATTTGCTCAATGGCTTCAAAGAAAAGTAGAACGATATCCGCAAATTTTATCAAAAATCCTCTTCACAGATGAGGCTGATTCTTCAAGAAATGGTATCATGAACGTCCATAACAACCTCATCTGGGCGGAAGATAACCCATAATTGGGGATTATTAATTGAGCCCTATTTTTCCCCTTACGTTTGTATGGAGATGCTTACCTACATTTTTTGGAACACGAGCTTCCCAACTTATGGAAGATGTTTCCATTGGTCTCCGAAATCACTCTTGGTTTATGCAGCATGATGGAGCTCTTGCTCATTTCAGTGTTATAGCAAGACATTTTTCAGGCGTAGCATATCCCCAACGATGGATAGGAAGAGGAGGCACTGAGCATTGGCCCCCGAGGTCACCGGACCTCAATCTCGTCGATTTTTTCTTTTGGAGACACCTGAAATCACTAGTTTATGCTAGCCCCATTGAAAACGAGTAAATGTTGAGGGATCGCATCATAGCTTGCTGCGAAACGATAAGAAACACTTCGGTGCGGAATTCTTAGATGAGAAGAGCAGAAGCTTTTATTACTGTAGGGGGTCGTCACTTTGAACAGTTGTTGTAATAGTTGTTCAGTAATAGTATTCAGAAAAATTGCTGCTGGGAAAAAACCTGAATCATAATTGATGTAAAGTTGTTGAGCTGCTATACGATGTAGGAGAAATTTCAAAACGGATCATAGAGTACTTTTTTGAAGCATGAAAATATAACGCAGGTCTATTCTACAACATGAACAAGATACACATAACCTGTTCAAATCCAGAACCTAATCATGGTGCAATAAGCCGATTCCCTTGCGATTGGGACCAATTATCAGTCACAGTTATTTATTGTCACTTAACCACCGAATGGGACAGAAAATTCAATAAAAACACTATGGCAGTGTTAGCTCATGAATAATTCAAACACTGGTATTGACAATTATTGAAATATTATTCATGATTATCGGCTTCGAAATTATCCATGAAAATAGTCTCACGTGGTATACATTTGAATAAGCCTATTTTAAATGCTGTTAATAATTCCATCATATAAATCTTTCAGCATATTTGTAGTTGCAGTCTCGGCCCCGCCCCTGAGTGTCGATGTATAGGGATACTCAAAAGTGGTGACATAGGCACTGAAAACAAAGAAGTTATTCACTTCATACTATAACAAATAACCAATAACTGCGTCTTCAGGCTAATATCGAACACAATAACTATTAACTAGTGAGGAAAATTAATTTCCAATTTTATTTAAATTATTTTTCAGGGATGATATGTCTGATTTTCATTTATGACAATTTTTTATGAAATATTTGGATAGAAAATCCATGAAATGAATAGCTATATCAGGAGGATTTTCTTTTCAAGATTGTAATCTAGAGTGATATCTAGAGAATGAATGACATTATTGAAATACAAATGGAAAATACAATATAAAAAATAATTGAAAACCTTGGTTCAACGATCAACTATCATAATCAATCGAAGAATATGCGAAAGGAAGAAACCTTTTGCTGATTCACAGTTTTCTAATGGAAAATATTTTCACTTCGAAAAAATGGTTGAAAAAACTACAAAATAAAAAAGTATTATCAAGAACAATTCACGAAAACTACTTAAAAATAATGTGCTACACAACAGAAGTAATATCAGTGATAATGAAAATGTGGAAAATATGAGTTTGAAAGATCGTTAAACTCACGATTCATCTGAGATTTGCGAAATAATGAATGGTCATTTTGTTGCGATTGGAAAAAAATATCTTTTGCTATTCCAAATATTTCGGAACGATCTTAAGAACATGTAATGTGAATTGAAGAAATAATGAAGTATTTGAATCCAAGAAGAACTTCTGGGTACATTGATATTAGTATAAATATTGTAAGATCAGTCAAGACTAAAATGTCACTAATTTTATTCAGATTTTTTTTCAATTTTTCGAAAATAGCGTAATACACAGCACTTTTTTACTGGTTTAAAAAAAACGTACAGTATCCTTGATAATATCTGTAATACAAGAAGTACCCTTTGATGTTAAAATAAAAAAATACCACTTCCTGCTTGGATTCTCCAGATCAATGAAGTAAAACAATTCTGGCGCCTGGAACATCAATGTAGGTTTTGCGTTGAATTTTCACCAAAATCTATTAACAATTATAGCAATTTCATACGATTCTGGCAACGCCGCCTTCGCCAAAATAACTATTTTTTTATTTTTATTGTTCCATTTAGGTATTTTAAATTTCCAAATGAAAATACAAAGCTTTCAAAACTAGAAGGATAGATTGAATCCGTTACATATTGACAGCGTCATATGGAATTTTTTGCGAGCATAATAAATTACTCTAATATTATAAACTGAAACTGGGATTTTAAAATACTTCTGCAGCATTCTATTTATGAAATCATACTCAAGAAGACACCAAACTCATGAGAATTCAAATAATATTTCTGAAAACTGATTCCCCAAAAACAAAACCTTATTATATACTTGTGCTACACTGTTTGGAACCTTTGGTGTAGTAATGAATATTAATAGAGTTTTTTCCCAACTCTCAACCGTTATTTCAATACCTCGACACGTGTTTCGATCACCAAGAGAAAGATCTTCCTCTTGAAGATGATCACTTGGTGATCGAAACACGTGTCGAGGTGTTAAAATAACGGTTTGGTGTTGAGAAAAAACTATAGTGATATTCAATACTTAATGGAATGGAATCCGTAAATACGATCACATAAGCTCATCCTTTGAGAATTCAGGTTGACTGAAACTTAATGCCCTGAGAGAACTGCACCTTCTCACGTTCACTCATAAAATATTGCAAACCGGAACTCCACCCTATCTGCGTGATAAACTCATTTCACTATCTTTCAACAATAACAGTCGCAATCAACACCTCTTGTTTATATCCAATCATAATTCGGCTATTTTTACACGTAGTTTCTCATACATGGCAGCTAAATTGTATAACACCATACCTGTAGACTTCAAACAGTTACCTCTCAAGAACTTTAAAAAAAGACTCAAAGCTCTAATGTCAACGAGTCAATAAGTTACCACAATACTGTCCTCATGCTTATCAAATAGGTTTCGATTTCCCAGATGTTGTTTTACCATATCGCGATTTTATCATTTTGTGTTATTTTATAGTTATTTTATTTTATAATAATTTATTATTTATTTACGATACCATGCATTCTTTTATAGTTTGAAAGGTTAGGTTTGAAAGCAGCTATAATAGCTGAACCTCGCCCATTCATCATATTATGTTTCATCATATCTTTCTACTGTTTATTTTTATTACGATGAATAAAGATCTGTTATTATTATTATTATTAATTATCTTCAGAAAAAACAAATTTGATTTCTGCGTACATCGTAATTGATGCCCAAATAATTGTGTGAAATGAATTGAATATACATTCATAGTTGTGTCAGTAATAATTGATTTTGTTTTGTTTCTTGCAGAACGGATTTGTTTGGTGTAGTGATGGTTGCCCAAAAACTGACGGTTGTCACTTGCTGGTTCAAGAAGAAGGCTGTTGCAAGCGATGCAAAGGTGAGCCCATGTTTTTATCCAGATCCACTTTGAAAATGTAGAATAAACTATGTTTGGAAAGTGTTGAAGCGATGACCAGAAAAGATATACCTTCTTCATGAATAACACCCTTAGAATGTTACATTGAAAATGAACTTGAAGAACAGTTCAAAAGAATCACCAGAACTGTCATAATCAGTGCTGCAATAATCAATGTTGTAGTTCAGGTGTGCTTGTTTTGAATTTATGCATTCATTTGGTCATTTATTCCCAGATCTATGAGACCTAATGGAAACCTCAAAAACAAATACTGCTGCCTTGTTTTTTGTATTGAAGAATATTAGTGGAGATTATGTTTCTTCCAGCTCTCAACAATAATGGCTCTTTGGGCCCACTCATTTACGTTCCCTGCAAGTAGCTATCGATGGATAACTCTCCAATACTCTACAGTACCATCAAAGCTGATGTTCCCCTGGGATCCATATTGTTTCCAACCCTCTCTTTATTGTATATCGATGACTTTCTGGACCAAGAATGTGTGACGACAGCACACTTGTCTCGTTATCCCATTTGGATTCCAGGACATCGGCTGCGGAGGCACATCTTCATTGGCAGTAGGAGGTTGTTTATCTTAATGAGGATTTAGAGGTGATTTCGAATTGGGGTAAAAGTAACCAGGTTCAATTCAATGTCACAAAAACCCAGGCATCGGTTTTCTCCAAAAAAATAAATGTCTCCGGATATAATGGTGTAAGGACAGACAATTCCGTTTTCTGCTTCGATACGTTTTTTGGAGGTTGGAATGGACACCAACATGTCTTGATACAATCATGTCGCTGGAATTGCGAAGGCTGCTTCTCAAAAGCTTGGAACATTGTTCCAAACCAGAAAATTATAGACATCCCAGCAACTTTTGATGCTTTATAAAGCTCAGATCAGTATTGTTCTCATGTATGGAGCTCCGCCCCTAAGGCATACCATGAAGCTGCTGGATTTCATACAGAAAAGAGCCGTCCTTCTGATCGGAGACGCGAACATCAGTTGCAACCTTGATAGTCTGGAACATCGAAGAAAGGTTGTGAATTTTTTCCTCTTCTATAGATACTTTCACGGGAAGTGTTCAAGTTACTCAGCACATTTGATTCCACCAAGAGCGATACATGTGGCTGCTGTGTGGCTGCTCATCAGATTCAGATTCAGATTCTTTATTAACAATTTGTAGCCAAGCTGTGCTTGGATATGGCAAGTCATATTACACTTAGTAGCACATTATCGATGTTATGCAAATACATTTTAAAAAAATTAGAAATTCAATAAATTATTTTGAAAGTACAATATTCATACAGGGGCATAAATACAAATATTAACATAAATTAGGTACTTTTGCAATAGTTCACAAATTCTTCAAGACTGTAGAAAGCATTCATTGTCAGCATTTTTAATTTTTTTTTCTTGAAAAGAGGGTGCGATAAATCTTTTACATTATTCGATATATAATTATATAGTGTGAGTCCATTATGTTGTGGCGATTTTGTTTAAAATGTGTGGTTGAATTTTTCGATGCGAAGGTTATCTTTGTTTCCTGTTTCATACCTGTGTCTCTCACCATTTCTAGCATAGCAATCTTTATTATGCGTTTTTGGAGAACGAAGTCTCTAGTCCATTCAGTTGCAGGGCCCCAACTGATAATGTTGAATAATAAGGTCGAGTAGACTACGGAGTAATATACTTTCAGGAGAGATGATTCATGAAGAGATTTTTTTAGTGTTAGGAAGGCAAATCAGCTTTTTGTGAGTTTGTTACATGTATTATCTATATGTCCGATCCACGTTATGTTATTATCGAGATGTATGCCTAAGAATTTTGTTGAGCTTGATAATTCATGTTGATTGTTGTTTATATTCAGATTGACAAGGTTTGGTTTATTACTGCGTGCACTATTGAATTGAATGAACATAGTCTTTTGTAGGTTCACTACAAGATGGTTTCTTGTACACCATTCATAGAATTGGGTCACTACTGAGGTCACTTTTACATTAAGAGTACTCAGCGAAGAGCCCGTCACTATTATTGTCGTATCGTCTGCATACATCGTTTTGAGTTTAACTCAGTTCATCTCAAACTTCACTGTTTGAGAACTCTCCCATTTGTAGAACTGCCTTTATGTGGAATGAAGTTCTTGAGAACTTTTCTCCGAATGAATTTAATCTCCAGCGATTCAAATCCCATGTGAATCGCTACTTTCCCACAGGCACGGCCATTAGAGCGCCTTAAGAATTTTTCTGTAGTGCTTGTGTTTTTTTCTTGAAAAAGACCAGCACACATTCGATAGCGTTAAACAACAACATTGGTGGTAAAATATTTCTTGGCTTTTTCGTAACTATGAATCGAATCAGACTGAATTAGTAGTGACTCTGCCTACAACATATTATGAAAATTCATCCGAAATTGAATTGGTATATTCTTGTTCTATCGACATAGCCAGGAATTTCCTTAAGGAATGAATCAGCCTCTCGAATCCGAAGTCAGATTCGAATCCCTATCTCATTTAGGCTTTCTCTCTTTTCACTTTCATGAGAGTAGGCATATTTCTGATATCAGACCGTAGACCATTAAACTCCCAAAGAAGTTTAGGAACACAGGCAAGCCAACCTTGTAAAGGATAACAGAAGTTTCATATTAGTCAGTGGGCTATTTTTGACGAACGTTTAAAATTCAGTTCTTTAGATTTGTTTACTGCTAGTTTTCAAGCCCACTGACTAATAAGAAAGTTTCTCTTCCTCATTCAGAGGAATCGGGCAAATTACGGATATGCAGTTGGTTAGTACCTCATCCACTAGATGGAGTGACATTTTGTTGTTCGCTCCAACTTAGGAAGAGGAATGAAATACTCTGAAAGAATTCTGATTTTAAATTATGGAATATCATTGATTTTAGGTCGATGATGGCCACTATCTTGCACTGATGAGTGGCTAATGAGCCCGAAACCGGTCTGCAAGTGTGCCCGTTCCAAAATTGAAGGTCGACTCTTTCAGTTGCATTGCCAATTGCATATGCAGGAAATTTTCTGTGAAGATTTCTGCACTGACGCCTGTCAAATATAATCCAACGCCCTTCATGGTATTAGTCAGGGGAGTAGTTATTTTCTGATAGGCGTCAGTCCATTTCAACCTACTGTGTAGGTATATTCGAGACTGGCTTGAACGTTCAAAGTTCAGTTCTTTAGATTTGATAACAGAAGTTTCAATAGATGTGATAGTTTTGAGAAATTTTTGGTATTGATTGGAGAACCACTTTGATAGGTTTTTAAAAATGTTCTGAGTGAGAGTAAAATCATCGAGAAGTGGTGATTGAAAATTTGAATATGTATATCATCTTCAAGTTTTTTGATTTCACCGATGTTTAAATACACCCAGATAATGTAAATATATAAGGAATGTATATTCATTTTCAGTGTATTGTTATAGAGTTGTAGCAATTTTCAGAAGGTCGAGAATATTACTAATAGCGCCATCTGATGCTGTAATGCAGTAACTTAGGACAAATTCAGCCAAACTGTAATATAGAGTTATTAAATTATCAGTTAGGGAATTATTCATTCACCAAATTCCTTTTATTCCTCTGTGAAACTTTTCAGCTTTCTCCATTCATACCTGGTTTGAGGATATTCGGTTTTGAAGAGTTTCTTGTTTTTGGTGGGTCCATATATTTCTACCTGTTTGACTTAATATCAGTTGATTGGTCTGTTATGTAATATGTAATGGTATGAACCCATTTAAAAAAAAAGGAAATGAGAAATTGCGCGTTGAAAGGTGAGATTCGATCAATCCTCAGTCAGCCCAAGGTACGACCTCTGAAGATTATGGTTCTCGAAGGAGCAAAAACACATATAGAACTATCGCCTTCACCAAGTGGTTCAATATTCAGTTTGGGAAAATCTAAGACGTCAATCCTAAAATCAATAAAGACAACATAAAGTTTCGGAAAAGAATGAAAAGAAACTGTAACGTAGACCATCATTGTTGAAATACCCATTCTCTTTGGACCTGTATTATCCATTATTGAAACTGTAACTTCTCCTCTACCCATACAACTACAATGTTACTTTTTTCAGGATGCATTCACAATGGAGTTTATCATGCAAGTGACACGGAGTGGCAAGACAGATATTCTCCCTGTACAGTGATGAGATGTGAAGCGGGAGTTGTGACGGTTTCTCAACTCCGTTGTTTCACACCTTGCGCCAATCCTCTACCACCAGAACCTGGAAAATGCTGTCCAACTTGTCCTGGTGAGTTATTTCTACTGTGGAATAGTTTTATATTGGACTAATCTGATGAATCATAGCCGACTGTGATGGAAGAGTTCCTTCTGAAATTATAAAATGTTGTTTCTTTGGAATTCACATTGTTCTATGAGGAACATTTTTTTTCTCTGTTGCATTCTGATAAATGTAAATAAAAAATTCAGAACTTGATGAGTTTTTGCTTCAGAACATATTTAAAATTGGTACAGCTACACTTCATCGACATATTCACATTCCATATTCATTTTATCTCTTAGAACTTCAACAGTTTCATATGAAAATGTGGGAAGTAAGAAAGCAATTACCAGAGCTCTTTTACAGTTTGTAACTGAACATAACTTCTACATATCTTCACGAAGAGTTTATTTTGAACACAATCCAAAAATAGCAAACAAGTTCAAAATGAATAGTCTAAGTATGAACATGTCTGTGTAGCAATTACAACAAAATTTCATTCGAGTATGAAAATGATGATAATTTCATTACTTCAAAAATAGTCTGTATTATCAAAAACTTCAAAATTTGTGACCTGTCACACCACACGAAGAATATCAATATCTCGCCATAATCGGGAATAGTGCAAAGTAATAACAATAATGGTGGCAATACACGACAAATTCCACAATACAGCCCGCAATTAGCTTCACTTAAAGCAGTAATTTACAGCAATTACCCAATTTTTTCCAATCCAAACACATAGCTTTGAAATAATTGAATAGTAATTGTGAGAGGTATAATGAACATCATTAAATTTTATACCGAAGCTAACGAACAGTTTGTTAAGAGATCTCATTGCGATTGCATACCATCCCCGCCAGTGGCAGCACATATTTTCTTCCTCTGGGGGTAATTTTTCAAGATGTCGGAACGTAGAATTCAATATATTTTCTAGCTACATATGTTACAGAGATAAAGGTAAATGTAGGCGAATAGAAAACTGGAGTCGAATTTAGGTACGGTTAATGAATGACAATTTTGTTTCTGAATTTTCCAATGAAACCTTTCACGAGCCGACTCCTGAACCTATTTCTATAAGAGGGCATTTCGCCGAAACACAATCACATATTGCTAAGTGAGCAAGGGCATCTTGATTATTAAGACGTCTTCCATGGTACTGACAGAAAATCCAATCCATCTATAGGGTTATATGGAATTCTATGAGATGCTATACGTTTTTCTAGAATTCTATGGAATAATGTGGGACTTGATGGCAGATGACAGTCCATAAAAGAACTCTATGGGACTTGACAGTCCCCATCATTGAAGACATGTCCCATCACAGTACATGTCCCGTCACAGAACATGTACCTTATAGTCCCACCTTGGTCTTATGATAGTTCCATCTTTGAAGACAAATCCCAGTGTCTATGAAATTCTATGGGATGCAAACCATCCATGGTATAGACAGAAAATCCAAATCATCTATAGGACTATTATATGGGTCTCTATGAGATGCTATAGGTTGCTCTAGGATTTTATGGGATTCTATGGGATTTGATGTCAGATGACATTCCCATAGATGGTATTTAAGGCACTCGAGGTCTTCTATGGTTTATGGAATTCTATGGGATACAAACCATCTATGGTATCGACAGAAAGTCCAAACCACCTATAGGATTCTATAGAATTCTATGAGATGCTATAGGTTTATTTGGGATTCTATCGGATTCTGTGGGACTTGATGTCACATGACATTTCCATAGGAGAATATTGTGGCATTTGATGTCTTCTATGGGATGCGACAGTCCACATCATAGAAGACATGTCCCATCATAGTACATGTCCCGTCATAGAACATGTATCTTATAGTCCCACATAGTCCCATGGTAGTTTCATCTCAGAAGACAAATCCCAGTGCCTATGGAATTTTATGGGATACAAACCATCCATGGTATAGATAGAAAATCCAAATCATCTATAGGATTTTATGGGGTTCTGTGGGATTTATGTCAGATGACATTTTTATAGATGAATTTATGGCACTCGTGGTCTTCTATGGTTTATGGAATTCTACGGGATACAAACCATCTATGGCATCGACAGAAAATCCAAACCACCTATAGAATTCTATGGAATTCTATGAGATTCTGTAGGTTCATTCAGGATTCTATGGAATTCTGTGGGACTCAATGTAAGATGACATTGAGTCCCACATTGGGATTTTGTGTGGCCTAATGTCAGATGACAGTTCCTGATTCTGTGGAACATGAGGTCTTCTATGAGACGTGACAGTCACCACCATAGAAGATATGTCCCATTATACTACATGTACCATCATGAAACATGTATCTCAAAGTCCCATCATGGTCTCATCTCACGAGACAAGTCCCAGTGTCTATCGAATTCTATGAGATCCTCCAACCCATCTATAGGATTGACAGAAAATTCAAACCGTAAATATTAAAGGCAAAAGAATTCCTCACAGCGATACTACACAGCCAAGCTTTGACATCGACTACTGAATGAGGAATCGATTTCTGTATTTCTCTGTAACTATCACTACGAGATAGATGGAAGCAAAGCTCCAGAATGAAGTATGCGTGATCCAATATGAAACAGCTGCACTGAAAGTTGTGACGGTCGTGATGTATCCTTCCATCTTAGACAACAGGTGAGACCAACAGAGCATTCACGGTTCCGACTGATGACAGCTATGCCAGGTCAAAACAGGGCTATCTAGTGTTGGACCATCAGTGCTCCTCTTAGGCTCCGGTTTCATCTAATCCTTCAGTGATGTTGGAGTTGCAATGTCTCTGGAAATTCATTTCGTGAAATTGTATACCCGAAGAAGTTAACTTCTATAATGCAGAAAAACTAATTATGGTATCCTCGGATGAGGAGGAGCAAACAAAACACATTTAAAGAAACTGAATGTCATTGAAAAGTGGGTATTGATAATTATGTATTGAAAATATCGTATTTTCTTCTGACAAACTTTATGAGATAAGTCACATGAGTCCCCGTGTCTATGGAATTATATAGGTTTCAATCCATCTATGGAATCGATAGAAAATTGAATCCGTAAATATCAAAGATGAAAAAAGTCCTCACAGCAGGATGCCACACGGTTCTGTGTTGAGGCTACTCTCATTCATCCTTCATATGATTGCATACAATACAAATGGAGAGTGGTGCAACAAAAACTAAAAATCTATGCCACGAAAGAAAACTGAAGTGAGAAGAATATATCCATCGTGTCTCAAAAAAGTGGCAAATGGTTGCTTTGTTATGAATTGGTCCCAGGAGTGATGAAAATGTTCACTTTGCGCTGGTCTAATGCATGTTGGGATATGGATTACCTTCATGGTGTTTACGCTGAAGCCACGTCCTGATCAGCCTCTTCATATTACAAAAAATATATTAGATACTTGCTTCAAACTATTTTCAAAATATAACTTTTCTTCTCTAGTTCTACTATACGGTTTTCCCTAAAAAAGCAGAACAATTTATTTTTGTCAGATGTCTAAATCAGGGCAATCAATCCTGTGGTGTAAACATCAACGTCTCGAAACGTTCGGCAATAAGCCCGCAGCTACAGCAAATATCCACCGTATCAACAGTTGAGAAAACGTGTGACGTATCGACGATTGGATGCATCCAAGCCGAATAAGGAACGTCGATGAACGGTACAAATAATCGATAGAAATCTGTTCCGATCGAGGAATGCGCTGTTCGACGGCAGGTGTCCGACCATCGGAGAGCAAATTTAAACGGCCTTCAGCCTATAAAACGTAAGAGCATAGACTATAAATTAACCGAGTTAAATAACCTCATTTGGTTATAAAACTTGTTCACGTGTTAGTGTGGTCGTCTCTCGGAGTAGAGTGAATTATTTTTTACTTTCACCCGATCGCGTCGTGCTCCGAAGAAATTTGGCATTTATATTACCGGAACAATCTATGAATGATGTCTGTTTTAACTCCATAACGAAATTTTGGATGAGTACCAACTGAATGAAAAATTCTTCACACTATCATCCCCAACAGCTCACAGGGGTTCAAATGTTATCTCTAACTGTAGAGTAGGGAGGGTGAATGTAGGCGACACGTGACCCATTGTATATCCTCTCAAGGAGTTGTCCTCCTAGATCATCGTCCATCCTGTCCTTTCCCAGAAGGTGAACAGGTATCTGGGAGACATCTCCTCCATATCAGCAGGTGTAGGCCAAAACTCGCCGAACACACACTCTCTTATTGACGACAGTTTCATCTTCACGGGTTCAATTTCTTGTGGGGCTTTTTCTCTCTCCCATATTATATCTGAAAGTAGATGCTCTGCATGAATTCGTCTTGAACTCATTTGCTTTCCTCCTTCCTTAGGAAGTGTTTCTCATTTCTTGTATAAAGATGGGGAAGTAGAAAGCCAAAATATTTCTTCTTGAAAACTTATCTACAAAATAACCTTGTCGTAATGCTTCATAAATCCAATGAATAATTGATGTGATCTGATATTTCAGAATGCAAAATCAACGACCAAATAGTAACAGAAGACCGTGAGGTGACCTTGGACGATCCTTGTTTGAAATGTCGGTGCAGTGCAGGAAAGATGACCTGTTCCAAGAAGGCTTGCCCCGTTCTCCAATGCACACGCCAACGACAGTTTGATCCACCAGGAGAATGTTGCCCCATATGTAGAGGCACCAGAACTCTGATTCCTCCCAAAAACACCTGTACACTGCAAACATCATTCTTCAGGTTTGTATTCTCGAATTGACTTGTGAAATTCAAAAAGTCTGTCAAAAACTGCTCGGTGGATTTCGTGAAATGAATCTATTGAGCACATTTTCTCCACATCAAGACAAAGAATCTATCTCTAGACGCATGTTTCACTAACCAAGTGAGTCATCAAGAGATGACTGAGACTAGTTTAGTCAGCTTCTAATGATTTCTAACTTGATTATCAAAATACGCGTCTAGAAACAGTATTTTTGTTCTGATGGGTTTACTTGTATTAGTAGGCCTGTTATATAACGCAGGTCATTCCTTCAGTTTATCTTTTGTTTGAAGACATACTTGAATCCTGGTAGAGTCTGTCAGAAGTCTACAACCATTTTGGAGTCCTTGTTCTCTATGGAAAAGCTTGAAGCGATGACAATGACAGGTTCTGATCTGATGAAACCTCTTGCAGCAGCTTCATTATTCAAGCCAGAGTGGCCAGGAATCCAGAACAGGGAAAAATTATTGAGTATTTCTAGGAAGAAAATACTTCATTGACAGTTCACTACAATCTTAGATTGTTCCCAGCAACATAAAGCTATCTAAGAATATTTCCGTTGACTAATGTGTGAGGTGGTTCTGCCACACATGACTAAATGTCATGGATTTTCGCTTGAAATACGGTTGCACAGGTCTTTAGGTAGATTGATATTTTCGTTCTGGATCTGTGGGTGTGAACTCTAGCTCCAGAAACCGAAGGTGTTGTTTTTGATACATCTGTTCTCATATTTCCTCATCTCAGGGGATCCAGTCTCCTATTATTACTAGTATTGAGTCTGCGTAAAGCAGGTTGTCGTTAAAACTATCCAATGTAGACCATCAATCTGCAATGCCCAGCAAATTTTTTAACAGGCAACGAGTACATGATTTTGTATCGTGTTCATCAGTTGAAATATGTGAGAAGAAAGTAGGCCCAGGAAGTTTTTTATGGTTGTCAATATGTAGTGCAGATGCTATCAGAGGTTGCTAGATCCCTGTACATTAGGCAATTGTTCTATGCATGATCATTTGTCTATCAATCATCACATATATCCAATAGATTCGTTTGGGTCCTGGTAACCAAGATTTTGCACAAATTCTTCCACATATTCCTAGGGATAGTCTGGTTTTATGTAAAAATCTTGTGAGCGTTCAATAAGGTTTTTTTAACGAGGATAATATTTAGATGTTCAATTTTCGCTGCAATTCCTCACCAGTGATAGAAATTGGAATTAAGTCCTACGCTTTTTACTTCTGGTAGAATAGACTATCATAAATGTGCTGGGATCTCAGACATCCACTTTCTCTGGCACCAACTATAAACGTTTCGTAAAATATATTACAGGCTATCCTTTTCGTCATGTTGCTTATCATGATAGCACATTCTTGTGTAACAGCTAGAAGGTCTACCTCTTTTATGCCAAGGACATCAATTGAACTGTCAATCCAGAGTAAAATGGGAGTAAGGAGAGTATTTTGCCCTTGAGAAAATTTGGTACTTCTATTCTTGTGCCTGATCTCATTTCGAGGAATCGCTATCGCTGTTCTAATTATGATAATTGATAATGGCATAGATCTAGCCAGTTATTGTCGATTATCTCGACATGATATGTCTTTGGAATAGCCCAAGCTGTTCCAATATATTCCAATAGTGCATTGCCAAATTGTCTTTCAATTTCAATAAATATGAACGGCTGAAATGACTCAATCGCCCATTCTGTTTGGCAGTGAGAATGGATGACTATTGATATTCAATTATAGTTTTGGAGTTGCAATTTCAAAATTTCACTCTTTTCAGAGATGGTGACACCTTCAACACCGACAAATGTACTAATTGCACCTGCACGAATGACACTTCAATCTGCAGGAGGCCTACGTGCCCTATTTTAGATTGTACGCCAGAATTGCAAATATATCCAAAAGGAAGCTGTTGTAAAGTATGTCAACAACCAGAAGAATCCAGGTCCAGCTGCTACCATAATGAAGTAGAGTATCAGGCAAGTAAATAGAATTCAGTAAATAACGTATTTCAGGAATACGTCGAAACATTTTGAAAACATACCGATGGAAGTGTTGTTCGATGTGGTGTTAGGTTAGGTTGGGTTAGGTCCAAAGTGAGTGGGTCTATTCGACCCTCTACCATAACCCGCAAGGGTTTATTATGGCTCACACCTATTCACACTCGGGCAAAAAAGACACAGCTTCCTAACGAAGCCGATTAGTTTGTATGGTAAGTGGTCTTTCAGGTCACATGGTAAGAATACGGCTCTGAAGAACTGCTTCGGTCCCCAGCAGACACATATTATGTGCTGTTCCATCATTTTCCAAAGAGAGGCAACACACACTGTCTTCCGACAGTCCGAGTCTCTGCATATGATGATTCAAATGGCAGTGACCTGTAAGAAGGCCTGTTAGACATTGTTCTTCATCCCTACTGTAGTCCAACAACTATTTGGTACCAAGCTTCGAAGGGTGAACAAACGCTTTGAAGTGGGACAATCATGGAAGATTCTGCCAGAAGTCCACACATCTTCTTGCCATCCAGGTGTTCAATATTTGTTCGACAAAGCTTAAAGCGATGCCAATGACAGGTTCTGATGAAGCTGCTTGCAGCACCCTTCTTTGCAAAGAAGTCAGCAGCCTCATTGCCTTGCAGGCCAATATGGCCGAAAATCCAGAACAGAGACATTCTGTTAAGTCTTTCTATCGAAAAGAGTCGTTTTTGGCAATTTGCTACCAATTTAAACGTTACTCGGTAGGAGCCAAGAGCTTTCAACGCTGCTCAACTGTTCGAGAATATTTTTATTGACTTGTGTATGAGGTTGCATTCTTCCAATCTTCCCGCATACAATTCAATAGCGTAAATTTCTGTTTGAAATACAATCCTAGGCAGGTTGATACCTCTGTCCTGGGTCTGCGACTGAAAACACCTGGAGCAGAACTGGAAGGTGTTTTTGATCCATCTGTAAACCAACAACTATCTGCCCTCAATATTTCCTTCTCCTGGAGTATCCAGTCCTCTTTAATCGTGAACAGTACTTTATAAGGCAGTTCCTAGTTGATAGAGGCATAAAGTCAGAGGTCATTTCCAGGATGCTGTGACTTCCAGTTCCAACCAACAGTCTGTTGCACTCGATGTGGTGTTATCAAATAGTAAAACAAATGAACCGCTACTCATTACTGAATTTATTGTTTTTGAACTGATTCCCACATGGATTCCCAATGTTAGATTCATTCTACTATTCCGATCAAGAGGTAGCTCAAAGTTTACTTCGAGCGGACACTTTGAGCTGTGAGTGCAGATATCTTTCATCCATCAAATCAATTGTATCTTTCAATCAATTCAGGTTCTTCATATTTCATTCCAGCTCCCTCACTTTTGTTTATATTTCATATTTCTATTTCTTTCTTGGCCTGCCCTTCCCCATTTTCCACTGTTCATAATGTTCGTTACAAATTGACCTAGATCAGGAATAATGTTCTAATTTAAGTCTGTCATACACTGTTAACTTGGTATCCTTCTTTCTTTACATATTTTTCTAAGGCTCAATTCAACGAACAAAAGGCTTGATTACTCTCTTGTATGTTTTTTTGGATAAATTGATCTAACTATTTCTGGAAGAATACCCACTATTTAAAACAAGGATAGATGTCTATAAACTCTACAAGGATTGTTTCATTACAACTTGGTTATGCTTATTCGGTGTGAAAAAATCTACCTAGTTCCCAAAACTGAAGAAGAACTGACTCACAGGTTCAATACCCAAAAAACTCAATTCATTTTCAAATTCGTTATTGACGATGATTTTATTGGACCCCACGGGACATGGTTAAGTTGTTAGAAACGCAAGTTTCTAAATGCATAAAATGAATGTTCGTTATTGACAGTTCCGATGCTCAGTAATGTTGAGGATTGAAACTCTCACAAGTATGTTAAACCCAAATGCCAATGGACCCGAATTTCTACTCTGTTTATAAGTTTGTTCATTGAATTTTATACGGTATTATATAATAATGAATTGCTAGGTAGGATGGTCAACAATGGAAGCTGGATGCTTGCAAGTCCTGCATATGTCAGAGAGGAATGCCTAGTTGCGTCATCACCAGGTGCAATACCACTTCAATAGCCTGCTCGGATGGAACCAGATTAGTACGACTACCAGGAGAATGTTGTCAAAAGTGTGTAGAAGGTGAGTCTTCCACAAAGGACAGTAGTGTCTCAGAAATATTCAGACTTCAACTGTCGAAAATAATATACTAATAAGTTACTTCCCTTGTTTCCTCTTTTCCAGTAGCCACTCTGACAAACCCATCAGTTCCAACTTCCAAATATTACCAAAACCCTCCTACGACAGGAGGTCTTTGTATCATTTGTTTCAAGAATTGAATTGGCAATCAGTAGTTCCAATACAAATTCAATGAGGCTTTTTATTTTCAGTTGAAGCTGCTTGTATGGTGTTTGGAGACCCACATTACAAAACTTTCGATGGTCGAATATACAGCTTCAAAGGCGTGGGAAAGTACCAACTAGTAGCCGACTGCTCTGACAACACCTTCTCGATACGCGTCGCCAACATCCTGAACCAGAGTTCTTCTTCTCTCACCAAACGTGTCGCCATCAAGTATCTCAACAACCGCATCAATTTGCAGCAGAAAGGAAGGATAAAATACAACGGCACCATCATAAAACTGCCTTTTAAAATCGAGGGAAAGTTCCACGCCGAGAAAAAGAAAGAAAACTCCGTAGAAATAACCTTGAACAACGGTGTGAAGATTTTTTGGAACTTCCGGAGCTTCGTAGAGGTTGTGGTACCTCCAGCTTTCAAGAATAAGGTTTGCGGGCTATGCGGAAACTTCAACCGCGCTGTTCAAGACGACTTACGTACCAAAAGTGGTCGAGTGCTGTCAGATAAGGAAGTTCTGGCGTTCGGGGCGTCTTGGTGCATAGGAAAAAAATCAGAATGCGGGAAGAAGGTTCGGCAGAACAGACCGGCCAAGCCGATGAAGAAGAACAACTGCAAAATGTTCAACAACGACACATTTTCTGCTTGCCACTCGAAACTGAACTTCAGCAAGTACTACAGGGCCTGCAAAATGGACATGGACCATTGTCACAAGGGCTACAACTGCTACTGCGACAGTTTGATGGCCTACGCCAGAGAATGCAACAGACTAGGCGCAGAGTTGGGGAACTGGCAGAAACACACGTTTTGTGATCACAACAGCCTCAGGCGAAAAAAGAAGAGGTTCCACAAGGCGCATAGGCGCCAAGAGGCGCAGTTGCTGAGGCAGTTGCCGAAAATGTTGAATCGAACAAGGAGTTCAAAAAGTCCCGTTGGGTTGACATGAATCTCCGACAATTTAGAAAGCTAGTCATTCTCAGTATTTACCAGATCGCCTGTAGAGTAAAAAAGTGTAAATATTATTTAAAGTATTATTGAAGAATTTGGGTTTTTGAGATGGAACGTGTCACTTGGTTGGATCGAATTTAATATTTGCTGTCGAATTTATTTGAAATTGAGATCCTGAGAGATTTCACATCAGGAAAGGTGAATTTAAGAAGAAATTATGTTGATATATACATTTCCAAGCCAAGAAATGACTTTCAAAATATGAGCACCTTGATCAGAATGCGTAATTGTTGCCGCTTACACCGTAGCTTCATGGAAAGCTTCATTACTACTGATGAAGCTACGCTGTTGGCAAATCACGTCTAGATATTCAGTTTGGCACGAAAAATTGGGGAGTTTTTTGTATTTGTTTTGAAGAAGACATTTTATAAGATTGTTTCTACTATTTCTAGAGCTTGTTTGCCAGAACAAGTTAAGGAGTTTTCACATTATCGAGGCACACACTCTAATTTACTGCGCATTAGTAAAGAATATCATTGAAGTTATATGTTATTATTTCCACAAAACCAGATGTTTTACGAGCCCTTTCAATTGTGTTCCCAAAATGAGAATTAAAGTCAGTTATTTGATGAACTTTAAGATGATTTCGGCCAATCATGACACAGATAAACTCATTTGGTGTTTTTAATCTAGTATTAGATATTATATGACATTTCACCAAGTTGAAGTGTAATTTTTTAGTTGAAGACCATCTGATAATTCTATCGATGCCATTTTGCAAAGAGAGATAGTTATTTATGCCTTTCATTTTGGCAAATAGTTTGGAGTCATCTGTATAAAGACGGTATGAACTGTTGATTTTCGGCACGATATCGTTATTGAATAATAAAAAGGAGAGGGCACAAATTTGATTCCTATGGTACTTCATATTCCAGCAAGTAGCTATGTGAAATTTCTACACGATACTCATATTGAAATATCGATAAAAATTTGCATACAAAATGAATTCATATGATTCAGTAATGCAATTAGAAAAATCAATAGTTACACAGATATTTGTATTACCCTTCTTGAAAAGTGGTGTCGAGTTGCCGATTCATCTGGAAAACGTAATAGAATTTTCTACACATTTGGAAAGCAATTTTCAATTGGAAATAAATCAGGATTTTTTGACATTGAATATACACAAAACAAATTTTGAACGCTCAGTAAAACAATTAGTGAAACTATTGAAGGAAGTGGTTATAAAATGATTTTTAGTTGCATATTCCTACTTTACTGTGAGGTAACTTTCTTGAACCAGAATATGTACTCCCTGAAAGTTTGTAATTTATATTGAAGTTGAAAAATTAAAATTTTACAATTCCTCTCATTTTGCCTCGTTTTTTGGAATGACAGAAGATTCATCAAAATTTTCTCATCAATTTTCACAAAATATCATTTGTTACTATTACCAAATCTGGAAAACGTAAGTGACACGTCAATCCATCTATACTTTGTCCATATAATTTCACAATTATTTGTACCAAAGACATTCTGTATTTTTGCTAGACGGTCTGTTCTGTTAAATAGTTTTCTTGTGAACAGTTTTTTTGTATATACGTTTTAGTATTCTTATTTTATGTACGAAGATCTCTGTGTAAGCATTATAGCTTTTAACAATTCAAATCAATCGTTCCTAAATATATAGGTATGTGTAAAATTATAAAGATTGTAGCTAAGTTGCTGTGAAATCTGTGGTTATTGAATATTGATAAAGGGAAGCGAAGATGAGAAAAAAGCGAACTGCGTTATTACTGCTACTGATAAATATTTTCTATACAATCTTGGATGTTTTTTCATATTCTTCCTTCTTACCTGATGTCCAGTTATTCATGTTGATGAATAGATTGAGTGAGTTTATGGAATTGATGAAAATCTTGGAAAGAAGATACATTTCGGCATCAAAATCTAAATTTTGTACCTATGCTTGACTTCCATTTATTTATTGCTCCAATCAAACGGATGAGAAGACGAAATTCTGTTGATACGGATTCTGTATCATCACATTCTATGTATATTCTGTTTTGACGATACTTTTCCAACTCTTCACCATAGGGATTCAAAATTTTGATAAAAAATTTCGATTTTGAGAATGCAGTTTATAATTTCACTTTTGAACAATGGGTATATAGAAATATTTATTATGTAGGTATTGAAAGTTTCATCTTCCTGAATCAAATCAATTCCCAATGTCGTTGGTCAAAAATTGATGTTTGCTTCACTAGTATATAACCTCAATAGTAGTTCACGATGATATTTCAATTGTATATTTCACTGTAATATATTGTTTAACTGTACAATTTTTTATCGATTTCTAGGTATAAGGATAATTTGAATGTATTTATTAATAAAATGCATAGTAGATTCTACTGTGAAATTATACATACTTACCATTTTTTTCGGTTTTCTATTGTTTTATTTATTTTTCAGAATTTGTGTTTAACATGATCACCTGTACTGTTGAAAAATTGACAATATATAATTACTGGATGGAAAGGAGTTTTCTTTGTTTGTGTAATGTATTGTTTCTTCACACGTTCATATATTGCTGATTTGACAAAGTTTTTTGAGACATATGATGTCTACTGAAGAAATATTCAATGAACAATGAATTTTTGTAGAGAAACTAAGTGTCTAATGTAGTGAAATACAAATCACTAGAGGAAACCTTGAAGAAATAGTTACAGTTAACATTAACAATGATTAAATCTGGCCACCTGCACTCAATTGCTCTCGTATAAGGTCATTAAATTCAACTGATAAAAATGAGACAACGGAAATACAAATCAATGAAGTTAATGTTATCATTCGTCATGAGACTAGCTCTAGTGATTTTTTTGCTGAGATAAATCGTCTAATCACAAGTATACTTCAAGTAAATGATATAATGCAACGTACTCTCCAACAGCTCCCCTTCAATAATATAGTTAGGTTGCTAACTAATTTTTTTATTCAATAATCATTTCTATTCATATAAGAATCACAATAACTATATAATATATATGATAAAAATATGTAAAATAATATATATAATAAATATTTCGTTCATAGAGGTGAGTGGGAAAGTAGGGATTCAAATAACAGGGTGATAATTGAAAATATTTCTGAATACTAGTCATTCACTAACTAATTTTCTTCAAAAGCCTCTGATAATTCCACTTTCATATTCTCTGTTTCATTGTCACTGTCATCATTTAAATCAATAATGAATTTATTTTCACCATTAATGAGGAAGTGTCCAATCTCCATATAGTCTTTTTCAACTGTAATCACTTCTTTATTCCTTTTCTGCTAGTCTTCTACTCTTCTACGGTAATATTAGATACTTCTTCTTCAATTACCTCTATTACCTTGTTATCAAATTCTCTTCGTAAGCATGTTAGGCGTACACATTCTTGAACCATCAGTCCACCCTTTCGTAACTGTGTCGTGAGTGTCATACCAAGTTTCGTCCAAATAGAAAATTTACCGTTGTTCTTGTCTACATTTAGTTATTTGTTACGCAGTTCTACCATTCTTCTAAATCTAAATTATAGTTTCTTGGTCCAATGCTGAAGAGTTTTGTCACAGCAGCTCACGTTATGGCCGGAAGTATTCAATTTCTTCCTTATGATTTCACGTGTAGGAATCACATTGCTTTTGTAACAGTCGTATATTTTTTTTATATTAGATGAACATCTGAAGGTTTTGGTAATCTTGTGTTCACCATCGCTATTGGAATCACTACACTGAAAAAAGTCTGCATTATTATCACACATCATTATCACTATTATTACTTGTCCAAGGACGCCACATCTCAAACAGATAACAAACATTTTAAGTAATTATTACTGCAACAATATTGAATTTCAACACTCAAATCGCGATTAGTTCTTGAACTGAACACGACGTCGGTAACCATCCCCGCATTCCCAATTTCTATTCGTCACCGTAACATGACTTCAAATTCAATTTTGTGACTCTTCAGCCAATCATAAAACTCGGTTAGTGAAAATTATCCAATACGAACAGCCAATTCTACGGTCCACGTGTACTACTTTGCAGCCGGTTCATTTGTATGTATTGGTTTTTTGGCCTTTGAGAGTGCCGCCAACTTTAAGTATGCATAATATCGTTTACTTCGGCTATACAGAGGTTTGAGTGATTTCTATTGAATTTGTGTATATTCTTGCTACCGAGTATTGTCTATTTCAACATTTGTTTTTGTTTTGGCTAAGTTTTTTTCGATAAATGAAAGATTCTTTGATATGTATTCATCACATTTATTTACCCACAAATACATGGATATTTAGGTATAGAAATAATTGAAAAAATTTGTCCCATACACACATTTTTCTGATCAATATTTATTGCATTTGATATGTTTTCGAGTAATCTCGCTATTCACACAAAATATGTATATGGGTTGTTTGCATATAAAATTTTTATATTAGCTATATCTGTATAAAAACAAATTTTAATTTAATACCCAATTTTAGTGCGTATATTTAACAGTGTTAGATACTAAGACATTCAAAAATCTTGACGAAAATAATTCACTTCCGTAACAAAGCTTCACGATTGTTGCTGATGCACAACAACGACTTTGAATACTGCAGTCTTCGTAGTTTTGTACCTACATGCATTTTTCTCTATTAAAAATATTGCAAAAACGTTCATCGTCAGTAATTGGTAGGTAAATGATTAAAATAGCAATTGAGGAAAGTTAGAGTTAGTCTCGATTCAGATCATCAAATATTATTTTGAGAATACTCTCCAGTTGTGCTTTAGTGAATTGAAATTCTAGGAAATTGTGAATAGAATTGAATATTCTAAACAATAAATGTGGTACCATATAATTGTACTTCTTCCAACTGTTTGGCTTCGTTAATCGAATATAGGAAGGCTTTCTCCAGATTTCAGATGTCATAATAATCACTAATGAAGGGTGGATACTAAGTCAATATCTACCTGCTCATGTTGAATGTTAGTGATAGTTAGTAATTTCCCAACAGAAACTCTTTCGAATTCATTTCAACATAAAATTCTTGTTCAAAAAAATTCAAAGAGAAAATCCCAGAAGAATAGAAAACACATTGGAAATATACAAATTCTTCACTATCACAGAAATTCTGATACATCCATAGGTGATATGTCATTTCCAATCAACTTCTCCAAGATTTATAAAAGAATGTTGGCAAAAAAGTATATATTGGCCAAACGAGGCAGATATTGAGGAAAGGATACAACAGCACAAAAAAAATGGATATTTTTTCCAGAAAGAATTCATCGTCAAAAAAGAATGTGTGAGGGTGATATATTGATATGCATAATGTTTGGATTCTTGGCATAAAGTCACTAGCAAAAATCCAGAGAAGACCGTTCAACTATCTTTATCAACTAGTAAGTAATTTTTTCGATTCATCTTGCATATAAACATTCCATCCTCAATTGACACAAATATTCATCTTGTTACCTTCAATAAGATAATAGAATGAAGTAATTTCATTTTGAAAATCTGAAAGGAGATCTCTTTCATTTTGATCCTGTTAACAACTATGGCATACTCACTCCTGAGGAGAATATCTGTAAATTTCACAAGGAAGGAAACTTCTCAATAGTGTGAATGATATAAGGAGAATTACAATTTTTATAACATTCGAAAGAGAATTCTTGAAAGTAATGATCTCTAGAAATATTTGTTGAAATTCTATTGTTGAAACGACTTTGCTACATACTTGTCGACAGGATTCTGAATTCTAATTCAAACATTTTTTTGTACATAATTCAATTACCTAATTCATTAAAAATATTCATATAAACAGTAAAGTTTCATAAAGCCATCTATATAGTCTCTGGTCATAAAATATTCATCAAAATACATCTATTTGAATGATAATCGAATTTCATCCAGCCATGAAAATCTGTTGTTTGGAAACACCATAAAATAACTTTCAGATAACACTACACCCTACAACATTCAAAAAGTGATAGACTAGAATAAGATATAGAATTATTACAAGTTACAGATCAATTGACAGACAAGATTACAGATGAAAAGGTAATAGACACATATGATTCGAATGATCCTTTAGGTTAAAATTTCTGGGAATATGAAACAGACATTAGCGAGACTGGTGAGATGTGGAATCGATACGGAGCGTAGCTGAAAATTCAGGTTGAAATGCATTTTTTAGAACTGTAGAACTACCGTTGTTTGTTTCTAATTCATTTAGTGACTATGTATATACTTTTTTTCGCATCAGATCAATCTCGCTCTGTCAGTTTCCACCCCATAGTGTTATGAATGGAAAAAATACCTGATTTGATTATTACCCTATTCATTCACACAATCACATAACAATAACAAAATACATTATCTAAGAAACATAATGTTAATCATTACCTATACATACTATTTACAAAAAATATATTCATCACATTTTGATATGTGTTTAATAGAATTTGATATGTACCGTTTCTCTAGCAGCCTCTGTTTTTTACTTGACTAGATACCTCCGTGGTATATGTATACTTTCAAACTACAAATCTTAAATTTACCCTAGATTAACCCTTTGGTATGGCATCAGCTGATATGCATTAGTTTAACTTCTGAGACTCAAAACACTTTGTCATGTGAATCTGTTGACTCTAGATAACATTTCTACTATTGCTTCTGTTAGTCATCTACATTTTCTCTAACAAATACTTAATCTTCAACTTAAATTTGCCTCGGATTTGTTCTAATTGGAGTCGTGGATTATACTCTCTTTCACAGTCATTAGTTAGTTCATATTTTCCATAAATGTGAGATGAACATAGAAAGGTTTTGCTGCCCTAGCTCATAGCAGAGATACTTGGAAAACACAGAAAACTGTTCAGGAAACTGGTGAATTTCGTTGTTCATCTATTGACAGTTACTCACCAAAGCTTCAGCCATTTTTGACGGGCAGTTGTTATGTCACAGTCGTTTGACTGAGTCATTTTTAACACCTAGACACGTGTTTCGATCACCAAGTGATCATCTTCAAGAGAAAGATTTAACTGATTTGATACAAGTGTTTTTATGGAAATGGACAAAAAAGTATAGAGCTGTCATCAAATACTCAATTGTTTTTGAAAGGCAATACACCTACGTAAATCAAAGGTGGTTGATGAAACAATGTTAACAACATCTCATAAAGATTCAGAGATAGCTTTGACAAAAATGAATATCTGCTTTGAGGAGATTCATAAATACTTGAACGTCAACAAATTTACAACAAAACTAAACGTGTCTAAAACAAAAGCCATGATTCTGACAACAGCATATCAATGTTATCATTTGTTTCAAAAGGTCTACAGAAAGCCCTATTGATGAAAGTACCCAAAAACACTAAGATTTTCACAAAAATTGGTTTAAACGATGAGATTGGAACTTTTGGTGTAAAAGTTGAAAACGTTTCCTAGAGATCAATTACCCTAACACTAAACTGATATTTTTGCACTCGGCGCGCGTTTCGTTACCAAGGTTAGCA